ACGTTATTTTCAACTCCCACAACCCGTTAAGACAACATGCTGACTTGGATTTGAATGGTATAACTACAAATAAAGTTAAGAGGCTTAAATTCTCACAGCCGGGTTGGGCAACCTCTGGCTTTCGGTTGTGGTTTCGATCCCTGGTGTGAGTGTATGTGGCGTGAAGATAGGGGCGCCTTCTCAGCCGGTGGGTTTACTCCGGGTACTCCGGCGTGCGCTAAGATAATGAAAATGAAAATAAGACAACTTTTCTGCTTGTCTACGATATCACCTATGGTGGAAGTGGTCGCAAAACTTTAGAAACGAACGAACGAACGAACTTTTCTGCGATATCACCTTCAGTGGAAGCGGACGCTAAACACTAAGAACAACAATATAGATTCTCACAAAAAGTGAGTTCTGTTTTTTGTTCTTGTCAGTTTTGTTACCTTAAAGCTTAATTTACTGTTTAGTAATACTTTGTTAAACATACATTATGCAAGAGCTAAATCTGTCTATTGCAGGTCTTTCTTTAGCCCTGAAATGTTTTCTAAATTATTAATTAGACATTAAATAACCTATCCAGACCACAATCAACTCTCGATGTCATCGCTAGCCTGCGATGTTTATTGGATTAGGTTCCGATTTCCTGTTCGACTTCCATTCATAATTTAATCATGAAATGGAAAATCGAGACTATGTTTTTTATTGTACTGACTTAAGTAATGATGATCTAGACTAGGCCGAAAATTCAAAATCGGTAAAATCTCGGTTCAGAGTGAACCAATTTGACTGAAATTTTCAACAAATTCCCTTTACATTATATATTGTTAACTATTATATTGAGAACTGGCAGCTCTTTATCTAATCTCCCATAATGTATCTTTACTATGTGCTTTTAGAACCCTCTATGTCTATTTCAAGGTTCCAAAAAAATAGAGCCATGCGACCTTTAAACACATCATCGACCGAACAACAGACACAAACCAAGATAAAGTTTTATCCAGAAATCAAGAAATGGATTAATTGTGTCCATATAAATTATCAGTGTGTTACAAACATGTACATGTTATTATATGTATGGCATTTTAACGTTTAATTCAGCTGCATACTTTCTAGTCATTCGGTGATCCCTTGTTCACGTTGGCGTGCACGTAAAAGAATTCGATATAAGACAAGAGGAAGCCACAGCACACTGCTACATAGCGTACCGCCCGTCTTTTTTTAACGTCCCACTGTTTTCCTCCGACCGGGCTAATGAAGACGGGAGACAAGTAGGACGTTAAACCCCATTTCATTTCATTTCAACTGAATACGTCTTCCTTTAATAATATCGTGTAAATATTGTATTTACATTTCAGTACAGAGACCGGAAATAACTAAACAAAACACTTCGTTTATTCATGTGGATGTCTTTTGTAATTGTACTTGAACTGTTATGAAAGATGATGAAAGGTCAACTAACAGAATCAAAATGCTATAGGTTTTTATTTGACTGGACAATAATATAATATAATTTGATCTAGGGCACGTCACAATATTCTGATTGAATGAGGTTTAACGCCTTGCTGTTCTGTGCCAAGCAGGCCCGTAGCCAGCGGGGGGCAAGGGGGGGGGGGGAATGCCCCCTGAAAAAATGCCCCCCTCCCTCCGAAAACAAAGTTGCCCGACCATAGCTCTAAAATACCTACTGTAGACTGTGCCCCCCCCTAAAAACTTCAGTGGTACCAAGTGGGCTAATGAACAGAAGACGAGCATTATGTCGCGTGCTTGGGCAGTGGGGACGGACAGCGGCGCTTAGTCTTGTTTCAATTTCCAACTGTCTGGGGGGGGGGGGGGTGGTGTAAAGTTCTACAAAAGGTAGATGTTTTAAAGTCCCTTCCGATCAACGAGACACTTCCTTTCACCACTTATAGGTCGAAACTAGATTGGAAAACTCCAGGAACGCACGAACGGAAATGGAGAGCGGTTACATCTATTTCATAAGACCAACTTCAACTTAGGTCAAAGGTCATGAGATATAAACAGAGCTAGCGCAAATTCCAACCCTAACCCTGGACCTAGCCCTTGCGCTTACTCTAACTTTCAATCTTGCCAACAACGTGTCATAACCTTATTTACATCTCAGCGACCTTAACGAAATCTTGACTTGGTCTTAAGAAATAGATCTAGCGGGGAAAGACCCGAGGAACTTCCTTGGTCAACATGGGGGTTGAAGCCGAAATCTCTTGGTTAATGCGCGGAGCCTCAAGTACTTATTGAATGTATAGCCTATATGAGATAAATATACCGAACTGTTGATTGATGTTATGGTACTAGTTTCTATATTTAGAGTTAATTATATATATAAATAGGTAGCCATATTTCTTTCTTGACGTATCTATCTATCACTCTGTATATACTACACAGTGCTTAATATGAAATGAAATGAAATGGGATTTAACGTCCTACTGTTCTGCTCCTATACTGGGCTAATGAAGAAGACAGGCATACGCCATACAGTGTGCTATGAGGGAAATTTTGCCCGGGCAGCGGCACTATCGCCTACTCTTATATCGAATTCCAAGGGATCTTTTACGTGCATTCCAATGTATACACGGGACCTCGGTTTTTCGTTTCATCCGAAGGACTAGACAGCTGTCCTTGTCAGGCCCTCCGTCCTTTACTGACAAGAGGGAATCACGTCGGAAAATCTGGATGAACTTTCTCGGCCAATGCAAGGATCGAACACCCGACCTCCAAGCTAGCGAGCCAGCGTCTTACCCACTTAGTCACCGTGACCCCAGAAAGAAGATGAAAGATATAAGTGTAGGATGATATACTATAGTGTTTATACCAAACTGTGCGAATATTTCCTTCTTACTTATAGTATTTACATCTTACATATGTTATAATAATAATATAATAATACTGACCTTTACATACTCACACTAGTCTACAGGAGAGAGAGAGAGAGAGAGAGAGAGAGAGAGAGAGAGTTAACCATTTGGCCACCCAACCCGGCAGTCTACAAAGAGAAATGGGGTATAACCTTCACCCAACAAAAACTAGATCAATTCTTTCTACAGTTACATTGTATCACCAACAATATCATTCAAGAAACTTATCTCCGGTAAAGAATTCAGAGTAGGTCTTCCACAGCTCTTGCTGAATAAAAGAGAAATGGTATCAAGCCTTCCAGAATAAGTAAGTACACATTGTCTGAAGTAACACTATTGCGAGATTTAGACTTGGCGACGCTCTAAGCTTTATATAGTTTTCTCTGAAGGCTCTAGGACAATTAGTCTCCGGACAATTCATCGGCAGACAGCTTGTACCCCAGAAGAAATTGTCCCTGGACTATTAGTCCCCTAGGGCAACTCGTCCCGGAACAGTTCGTCCCTTGCCTATCTGTCCCCTAGGACAATTTGTCCCTGGACAACAATGGTGGTAGTTCCAAACTGAATTAATCTTTACTATTTATCCTAAATCTCAGTTTTGATGTTAGTTTTACATCCATTTATCCCTTCACTATTGGTATTGTTCAGTGTCAGTCCTGAACTTGACTAAAATCAATATGCATTATTGTGCATGATAAAACAATGTTAGTTTCAACTTCTTCAATTTCTTTAGAATTATCTGTTGATATACCAATCTGATTAAAATACAGATCTATATTTCGTTTCGTTTATTTTTTTTATACTTTTGATGGACTACACTACGAGAAGATCTGACCTGTTCTAACTATAGGTCGTGTCAGAAGTCATACGAGCAGCTTTTGACCCTATGACGTCAGACATTTGATTAACCAATCAGCATTGATGTTACTAGTGGATTGCCCACAGTTCCATTCAAAACATGCCTAAAGCTCGCCGTAACAGACCGTTGGCTAATAGCTCACATCATTCAGAACATGTCAATGATAACGACAAGTAAAACGAAATTTTGAACTATAAAAAACGAAACGAAATAGGACCTGTGTTTTAATTAGATTGTTGATATACTTAATAAGTAGTCTTCAGGCAAGAAGAGGGGGGACTACTAATTTCTTCCTCCATTTGACCTTCATAGGGGACGAATAGTCCTAGGGGATGGATAGTCCAAGGGTATGAATTATCCAGGGACATATTGTCTGGGAACAAGTTGTCCCGTACCCATATATTTCTACTGAGATAGACAGCCTAAGTTTAGTATGTGGATCCCCTTATTGAAAGGTAACAAAAGAAGCTCTCACCAATGTGCATACTAAAACACGCTACTTGAGTCGTCAACACCCCCCACGCAAACCCCAACAAATGACCCTGTTCCATAGCAATGGGGAGAACTAGTATGGGGGCTGTTGGCGATAAATTCCAAATATTAACTGACATAAAATATTAAAAGGTCTAATGAATTGATGCCCATGAAATCTAACTTTCCAAACTCAAGGTGAGAGAGAGAGAGATGGGGCTTAAATCTACACGACACAACCTAGGTAATTTCGGAACTAACATAGGGTTCAATTTCATTTCAATAATTCGCTAGCTCGTAGGGATCTTTACCAGTAGGGGAAACTGGAGGACCCAGAGAAAACCGACGAGGTTGGACAGATGACTCTAATCCTTGTCATGTACAACCGGGGAATGAAAGCACCCCAGTTGACACAATGACAGACTTTGTGATGCAACGTGCACACCATTCGACCCCCCCCCACCCAACACACACACTAACCAGGGGTCAGGGTTAAATCTCGGTGTTGGTCAAAAAATGTCATCAGGATTTTCCTTTCTGGTTTCCCTTGTCAGTGGTGCTGAATGGAGGGTTTTGCAAGGAAAGGCGCCTTGTAGTTCGTACAGTATAAAAAAACACTTTAGCAATTTGATGTTGACCACAGGAAAAATATCTTCTTTGATTGGCAATTAGTAATTGAACATATTAACACGAAGGTACAATTTTATGGACACACAATTACCGAGTTTAATACTAAGCGATGTTTTGACGAGGAAAAATATTCAAAGTCCCAAAATGATTGAAGTATTGTCAGTAATAAATATACACAGGAATTATCTTTTAAACTGTTTAATATCAGAAAACAAAAAATATCATGACTGTCCTTTTTTTTTTTTGAAAGAGAAATGATATTTATTTCTAATAAAGCAAAATAAAAATATGAAAATGTGGTGATAATGGATTACTTTTATTATGTAATTCCATGCTTGTGTGTTGCTAGAATCATGATTATACGACTCGGATCAAAATGATTATGATTATACGACTCGGATCAAAATGAAAATAAAATGAAATGGGGTTTAATGCCCTACTTGGACTGAGCTAATGAAGGCAGGCATATGCTGCACAATGTGCTATGATGGACATTTTGCCTGGAAAGAAGCAATACTACCTACTCTTTTATCGACTTCTGACTGCAAAGGGATCTTTTACGTGCACGCCAATGTATACACAGGACCTTGATATTCCGTCTAATACGAATGACTATATGTTGTCCCTTACCAGGCCCTCTGAGAGAGAGATGAGGTTTAGTCTCCACTCGACACAAACTAGGTCATTTTGGGACTAACACATGGTTCAACTTTATTTCAATAATTTGATTGCGCTTAGGGGTCTTTAGCAGTGGGAGGAAATCGCAGGACCCAGAGGAAACCCACAAGACTGGACAGTGGACAGACGACCCTACTCCCTGTCACATACAACCAGGGAATCCATCTGAAATGGTAGTTTAAGATATCTTTATACCTTACATTAATTACAGTAAATACAAGAATTATACCACAATTAGACAAGTACAATATTCCGAAAGCATACTTCCAACTCTGTATAAAATGACTGATCTTTATAAGTTCAAGTACACCTTCTACATGTTACATCATATCAAATACGACCTCGATCACTGGCTCAATGATGCATCATTTGTTAACATGACATAGTGTAGTAGCATAGACTGTTTCGGGCAGAATGGTGCCTTTTACTCATTTTATATACCCATTTACACTAAATAGGAAATATTTTTATCCAGATATACTTCAAATACCTTTCATTATTTTTCTATTACTTCAAAACAATGTTCTAGAATTTAATTGGCAAAGGAAAAAAGGTTAATATTGCGAGCTAATTAACCTGCACCAATGTCATCCCTTTCAGTAATTGTATTGGCCTAGTGAATATTCAGTGCTGATACTCTCAATCGTGGTAATTAACATATAATAATAAACACTATTAACCTCCCTATCTCTAATGACCAAACAACAATCAGTACAATTATGGTTGCAATACATTTAAAGGAGCTAAATCGCTAATACATAACATGGGACCTAGAAATGGACATAAATGGGTAGCAACGCATATAATAATGTAATATGAATGTACCGTATATAAACTGATTTACATTCAATCGTTTCTGTTTTTACTATAATTTCTAATCAGTTATGTTCGGCGAAATACGTCTGAAGTCTCAATTTAATGGCATTCTCTAGCGTCTGGTTATTGTGCATGCTCTCCAGATAAGAATATGATGTCACCGTTTGCCATGTCTAGCCTTGTTCTTTGAGTCCCTTGTTACAAATGGCGCTGAAACACATTATGGTACACGATTTGTGTACCAATGATAAAATGTTTATTTTGTCTTAAATATTGGATATCAGAAGCCCATCTTTTCCCAGTAAGATCACAACATCAATGTTGATTTAACTTGACAAACAATTTGTGTTTTCGATGTCGAAACATTTGGATGATATGATACTGAGTTAGAGACTTAGCTACTTTAAGAGCACTCAAATGTTCGACCAAGAAGGATGTTCTTTTTCTTGTAAAGGTGTTCCATATTAATAGTTAATATGACGAGATTTTGATTTCAGCTTTTTTCATTTCCTCCACTGTTTGTTTCTGCTTGTTTAGTGTCGCTGTCACTTGATGATGTCGCTTCTTTAACAAGGGTCTCTTTTTGTTCATGTTTTTTAGAAGCATCCACTTCCTCGTTTTCTTCTGTTGAACTGTGTACTCTACTTTCTGTTTTATCATCATTATTCATACTTTGTTCAGAAGGAATATCAGTGGTTGTATCTGGTGCCGGCATACTTTCTTCATGAAGTTCCTTTAAAGACGGCATACTGGAATCTGGTTCTACGCTTTCTACTTTATCTGCTGCATGAATTTGTCCAACATTTTGGTCAGTTTCCATGGGAATTTCTTCTATTCGTTCATCTTCATTAGATTTATTATCTCCATCCTTTTGTCCGTCCTCTTCTTTTTTGCTTTTCTCGTCTACTTTTTTTCTTTCTTCCTCTTGTTGTTGCGCCATTTGAGTCTGTCTATTTTTAATGTCTTCTTTAGCCTTAGTTACCATACCATTCAACATATCTTCACTTATCTGAGGTTTACTATCACACAGCTTCTTTAAATCGTCATGAAACTGGTGACTTGATTCCATAAACTTTCGCTTCTTTGCATCATGGCGCTCCTCGATAGTCTGAAGTTCTGCTTCCAATTTTTTCTGATGCATTGTCAGTGATTGTACCTGTCTTTTTAATACGCTCATTCTACCTGTCGTTACGACAGTACGCACATCTGGCACAACACTTTCACTAAATATATCATTTATCAAACGATGATTTCTAGTGTAACGACAATGAGCTATGTGTTTTACAGAAAATCCGTCATCAGTTTCATCCTCATCTTCAGCAGGCTGTATACTAATTCTAGGCATTTCCAATTTCGACTTAGCCGAGTTTCTTTGTCTTTCAGCAGATCTTTCAGACGTCCTTTCCTCTTCTTCGATGGCTGCTTCTGCCGCAGCTTTACTCTTAGCGGAGACCCAAGCTTGATAAGCGGGAGAATTATGGTAAGCCTTCATGGCTTCATTATACTGCGATTTTTCCGATTCATATTCTTCAATAAATTCTTGTTTATCAATTTCAGATAAATCTCTCCACATCCCACCGATTATTTTTCCTATTTCCCATAGTTTAAGATCAGGATTTGCAGCTTTCACTCCTTCCCAAACCTTGCGACTATACCTCATGTATGGCATGAGTGGCTTGTCCGGTGGTTTTGGTGGTTTAGGAATACCACTATCTCGATCTCGTCTAGAACCCATTTTAACGGGATGGAAGTTGGGATGACCATGACTAGACTGTACAAATGGACTACTCCCCTTTGTTTCCGATGGAACAGAACACCTGGCTTTACTGCCGATCTGTGGCGATGATGCAATATTTCTAAAACTTGGAAGAGCCATCGTTAAATAGATGTTTACTTGAATTCTATGCCCTGATCTCTAACCGGCACAATACTGGATCTTCAATGAGTTACTTTCTATTTTTCACTCGGCAACCGGCTGCAGATTTCACTCGGCCAACTTCGGTTACTCCTCTACACCAAACCATGTTTCCAAACAGAGTTATCTTTCCGTGACCCGCAAATTATATTTTTAACAATGAGTTGAATTCTATAGGAGGTGTTGAAACTCCCGCAAACAGTGCCGGTGGTGCAAGTAAGTTATAAAAATAAATACAACTGACAAAAGGTTAAGGACCACCTTAAAGTAAAACAAGACAGGAATATTTGGTCATTTAAGTAATAGATATTTTTTAATTGAGGATTTCGAAAAATATAGGAGTCCATTAGATGATCTGGTCAGGAAAAGGATGAGGATTACAGACAAGAGACGTAGTGATAACCATCGTCATGTGTATCCCTCTCTCACTTGGAGAGAGAGAGAGAAATGGGGTTTAACGTCCACTCGACTAACATATGGTTCAATTTTATTTCCATAATTCGCTTGCGCGTAGGGATCTTTAGCTGTGGGAGGAAACCGGAGGACCCGGAGGAAACCCACGAGGTTGGACAGGCGACCCTACTCCTTGTCACGTACAACCGGGGATTCGAAACCACGCCAGTTGACTCAATGACAGACTTTATGATACAGCTAACCATTCAGCCATCCAACCCCCCCCCCCTCTCTCACTTGGATCACGTCCTCAACACCTCTTGTTTGATTAGTACCATGGTACCAAAGGAACCTGATACTATTCTTCTTGGAGTGGCAAGACTTATGCTGGAAGTATTTTGTGATGGATATTACATGGTTCCAAATAAAAACCATCTGAATTTATTGTTGATGGTTAAATATCAAACAGACCTCATTTTAAACGGTGGTGCTTATCTTTTTGACACACATAATTTTTACCTGTACTACTGCTCAAAAGCTTTTAATTTTGTTTTAAAATTCTGTTAATTCGTTGATAAATCACGTTATTCTATTCTCTAGTCATGGTAGTCAGTTAAACTTGAAACCTGTATGTTTAAGTTGTAACCACTGTAAAAAGGATGGCTGTAGAAGAATCATGTTCGTTCTGAATCTAAATGTAAAACCTATTCCCCCCCCCCCTCCCCAGCCGCTGATCAACAGAAATGAGCAAAGTGAACCTGGGCACTAAACAATATTCAGAATACAAGTTATTTAGAAGTTTATTTTGTTTGTGGCTTGATAAATACAAGAGAACACTTTTCAAGACGTCGTCAGAAATGAACTGTGAAAAAACTTGTATTTAATACACCGGTATATTAGTCATGGTTTATTCAATACAGTTACTAAATGCAGCTTTAACAAACTACATTTTTTAATGGTTTATTTACAGAGAAGAAATGGGAAACATTACCAGGCTGCCAGACACGCCCCATTGATAACAAAGGTCTGCCTGCTGCCGCTGTACACAAAACACCCAACCCAGAACCAATCGATGCCACAAAATTGCCGCTAGCAGAAAAAATTCGACGACTTTCAATGTTTTTACGAAGTGAAAAAAAAGTAATCAATGAAATTATGGTGAGGTTTTATTTATTAAAGATACATTATGGGAGATGGAGATAAGATAACGAGTTAGCAGTTCTCACTATAATAGTTAAAAACTACATAATGTAAAGGGAATTTGCTGAAAATGTCAGTCAAATTGGTCCACTATGAACCGAAAACTAAGCGGATGAAAGTTTCGCCTAGCCTCGAAACTAATAGTCTCGATTGTCTATTGTTGTGATTTAATTATCAATGAGCGATAGCAGCATATAGAATTGTAATCCAGTCGACATCGAAGGCTAGCCTTGACATCGGGAGTTTATTATGGTCTGGATAAGTTAATTAATGTCTAATTAATAATTTAGATAAGATTTCAGGCCTAAAGAAAGACCTGAAATTGACAGGTTTAGCTCTTGCATAATGCATGTTTAATATTTTTCACAATAATCTCATTAAAAACACAGATTCTGCTTTATTTTTATTTTTATTTTTATTCAAGCATGTATTACGTATAAAATTCTTTTATTTGCCCATCTACATAAGACCAGTTGGGCGAGTTTGGGTGGTCGAAGCGTTAATGCGTCATTACCCGCTTGTACGTGACAAGGAGTAGGGTCGTCTGTTCAACCTCGTGCGTTTTCTCCATGTCCTCAGGGTTTCCTTCCACTGCTAAAGACCCCTAATGAAATAAAATGAACTATATGTTAGTCCCGAAATGACCTAGTGTCGAGTGAACAATAAAGCCCATTTTCCTCTCTTTCCCATTAAATCCTATTTTATTTCATTTTAGTTGTTTGAGAATTCTCTGATGAGTTGTAAAGTTGGAATTTGACCAGATTTTTTGATCGATGGCATGGTACAAGGAAAGAACGGATCCTTTTTCACTGGCCGACTTAATCTGGGTGGTGTGTTCCTAGCCAGAGCTATCGGCATCAACAAGAAAGAAATCAAACTGTCATGTTTCAAGAAGGCGGTGGAACTTTATCGTACCCTTCCTGTCACTGAAATTTTGAACCAGGATGATATGACCCCAAAAGTTATCAAGGAGAAACTGGAGAATTTTAACTCGACCGTTGCTAAGATGGAGAAAGAAACAATTGCAGAGTTACCCCCACCATCTATTTTGAAACAGATCCAAGATATTCTAACCAATCCTAAATATGCTTCAACCAATTCAGTCAGCAAAATGGAGTTGGCGGCCTCTGTGGCTAAATGTCGAGTCCGTTGTCGATATGATGTAGAGAGTTGTAAAGCTGAATCAGGGAAAGTTTATCATAAGGGAATGTACTTTATTGACAACATACTACAAGGTGCAGGTGTTTCAGTTTCCAAAAAAACTGCTAAGTCATTGTGTTATAATATGGTGGTTGAACGACTGACCACCATGAATGTTGAACATGGCAACATCTTAGATGGTGTCGAACAGTCTGTCATAACAGAAGCAGAAGCACAGGTTCAGAGCACTTTGGTAAAGGCAGCACCAAATCCTAGGGCATTTGATCTCCGTGAACAGTTTGTCAAAATGAACGAACTTAGCAGTGCCACGCATCCTGCATCCATCATTACTGTCTTGGATGGAATTTTCAACGATGTAAAATTGACGCCCATTTGTCTATACCGTCGTAGCATGAACACAGAAATAGAAAAGGAGAAAATTTTCTGTAACCTCTATCTAGCTGGTCATCTCATCATGATTGGTGAAGCAGAGAACCGAACAGATGCCCAAGCAGACGCTTACTCTAAAGCCCGATAGGTTTCACGAACTGTGACCCCGAGTTCATCCTCCCCCAACACAGTAAACTTCAACCACACGACCAAGCAGCAACAGATGTTATCGACTTTCGTGTCAAGGGCAACTGCATTTTGGAAGATAACTGTTTGAATCTTCATCGCTTACAATGGACCCGAAAACCTATATCAACACTACCAGCCAAGGATATCGTTGTCTTTGAGGACGTCAGTTGGATAGTAGATCGTAAAGTTCAAGGTTTCTATATTTTACAACATTCATGTTTTGTCAACAATATGTTGTTGGAATGGGAGTTTTTTGACAATGATGATCGTGTATTCAGGTAAGTTGCCTTAAGGCCTAGTCTGGTCTCCCGGCCATAATCTTAAGGCCTAGTCTTGTGTCTTCCGGTCTCAACTGTAAGGCTTAGTCTTGTATCTTCTGGCCTCAACTGTAAGGCCTAGTCTTGTGTCTCTTAAGACCTAGTCTTGAATCTCTTAAGACCTACTGTAGTCTTGCGTCTTCCGGCCTTAACTGTAAGACTTAGGCTGTGTTTCCTGGCCTTAGCCTTCAAGCCAGAATTTCATATTTTCTATGAAAGTCAAAACATAATTATTTCTATGTCTTTTGCTCAATAGGTTATCAACTCACTATTATACGACTATGGGCATTATTTCCCACCCTTAAAAATCATTGACACAGGAAATAATAACACAATTACCTCCCTTGTTTTCCTATTGCCTCCATGCATTAGCTATCTTCAAATGTTGGAATTCGAAAATGATAATTTTGCCAATTTCGCAGCTGGCAATAGTGAATTATAGGATTAATAGGATTATTCTTTAACAAGGTAGGACTGTGTATGGATACCATCTATTTTAAGGCTTTATTTTAATAAATTTTAAAAATATAACTTAACAAATATGAAATTGTAGCTTTAAGATCTAGTCTTGTCCCATTGATCAAAATTTTGAAATGTTCAGTTTGCTTGTTACTCTTCTTTTGTTTTTAGGGGTGGTTGAGTGGTCCAAGCTCATAAGATCTTTCATTGAGTCAAACCTCCTGGGTGTCAGTCCAAAAATGTTGGTTTGTTTTGTGTGAGTGTTAATCCCCATTTCTCTCTTTTTTTACTTTAAGATGTCAGATGAAGATACAGAAGGAAGATGTTGGAACCGAACCTGCAGTGTCTCTTAGTAAGATAGGCTCTAGAAATTTTGCAGCAGCTGATATCTTGTTTAAGCTCTACGAAACACAACCAGTCATAGAGGTAAGTTATTCTATTGAATACTTGAATTAGCTTTAGGGCTATGGATTCCTGAGCTAAATAGGGCCTACATTATATAAAGATAGGTTGCCAGGCAACTAAACATACGCCCACAGCAGCTAAATCGTCCGAGCGGTCGACAAGAGTTGTTGTATATTTGTTCTTTTGTAGGTAATTAGGGGGCATTTAATAGACAACTTCATACAGATGACATTATAATTTTCGTCGTTTGAGGGTTCACAAGGTTCTAAAAACTAAAATAAGGGCTGTAACTCAGGAAGTAATCTACAGAAATTATTGAAATTCGACAGACTTTTTCGTTTTACTAATTCAAATAATACATATCAATTTCATACAGATCGGATGATAACTTTTGTCGTTCGAACGTTCACAAGATTCAACAAAGTAGAACAAGGGCCATAACTCTAGAAGTAATTGACAGAAATTGCTGACATTCAATAGGCTTCTTCATTTCACTAATTTAAATGATGCATATGAATTTCATACAGATTGGGTGATAACTTTTGTCGTTCAAGCGTTCACAAGATTCAACAATGTGAAACAAGGGCCATAACTCTAGATGTAATTAACAGAAATTTGCTGAAACTCAATAGGCTTGTTCGTTTTACTAATTTAAACGATACCTTTAAATTTCATACAGATCGTATAATAACTTTTGTCGTTAAAGCAACCACAAGGTACAACAAAGTGAAACAAGGGCCATAACTCATGGCGTAATTAAAGGAAATTGCTGAACTTCAATAGGATTCTTCGTTTCACTAATTTAAATCATGCATATCAATTTCAAACAGATCGGATGATAACTGTTGTCATTAGAGCATTCACAAGATTCAACAAAGTGAAACAAGGGCCATAACTCTAGATGATTAACGGAAATTGCTGAAATTCAATAGGCTTCTTTGTTTTACTAATTTAAATGATGCATATAAATTTCATACAGATCGGTTGATAACTTTTCTCGTTTGAGCGTTCACAAGGTTCAATAACATGAAACAAGGGCCATAACTCTAGACGTAATAAACGGAAATTGCTGAAATTCAATAGGCTTCTTCGTTTCACTAATTTAAATAATGCATGTAAATTTCAGAAAGATCGGATGATAACTTTTGGAGTTAGAGCGTTCACAAGGTTCAATAAAGTGAAACAAGGGCCATAACTCTAGACGTAATAAACAGAAATTGTTGAAATTCAATAGGCTTCTTCGTTTCACTAACATAAATATTGCATATAAATTTCACAAAGATCGTATGTTAACTTTTGGCATTAGAGCGTTCACAAGGTTCAACAAAGTGAAACAAGGGCCATAACTCTAGACGTAATAAACAGAAGTTATTGAAATTAAATAGGCTTCTTCATCTCACTAATGAAAACAACATATATCAATTTTAAAACAATTGGATGATAACTTTTGGCGTTAGAGCGTTCACAAGAAATTGTGGACGATGGACGGACGGACCGACGGACGTACCGACAGACGGACGGACGGTGGCGACGGCAATATACGTCCACATTTCAGTGTGGGCGTATAAAAACCAATTTAGCCAAGCATTGCATTTCTACACCCTTTCACTGAAGCAACGTTCCTGTCCCTTGAGCAGGGTTATCCTGTGACAACACCAGAAGATTGATATATGGGTGGGCTGGTCTAGTGGTCTAATGCATGCCCTTTAGATCATAAGATATGTCCTTGAATCTGAGGAACTTCATTGGCCAGATTAAAAACAGATTCTTATCAATGAGCCAGTGTCCTACACACCGAGTCAGAACCCACCGAGCCAGCGGTTTACCCACAGAGGTGGGTCTTTACCCACTGAGACATTGTCTTACCAACTGAGCTGGTGGCTTAACCCCTGAGCCGATGGCTTATCCACAGAGCTGGCACCTCATGTACTGAGCCACCTTGGTTTTCGTTCTGCTCTTGTATTGCACATAAAAATGCCTTCCTGGCTAGGCACAGATTTGACCTTTAATTGATGAATGCCATTATTTAAAGTTAACCTAGATATCATGTCTTAGTAAATCGTTTTTCATTCCAGGTTTCTGCTTACACTAAACCTGATCAAGCGATAGAATCTGTCAGTTTTGATACGTTGCTTAAAGAAGCGGAGGTGTTGAAGAAAGCTGCCGAGGATGCAGGAGAAAACGTTACAGCTACTACAGCTGAGGGAACTGATTCAGAAACTGAGACCAGTGACACAGATGTTGAAATGAAGGAAGAAGTAACAGATTCACAGGCTAAGAAGAAATATCCTAGAAAACCACATTACCGTCATGCTGATAGATTTATTTTAAAAGCTGCCCAGGCACGACTAGACGAATTCATTAAAGTTAAAATGCTAAAAGATCTACTGTTTGGACCTGCTTTCCCTCATCATATCACACGCCAGATTAACGGCTTACTGTATAACCTCCCCGTTCCAGTTCGCTTTATAAATCATTCCACTAGAAATCAGATGTACACCATTGTAACGCAAAGTATGTCACCGATCAAAATTGTCGCATTTCTCAAAGCCAACGGTGGACAGTCTGGTCGCTTTCGTTTAGTCGACAAATCAGAACTTCCGACACATAAGGACATTTTACCAGAACTTAAAAGTAGGGAAATTTTAACTAAGATCAAATCCAAATTTTAGTAGAAATTTCAATTTTGATTGGCTAAGCACTAAAACCAATCAAATTGTTGGCTTTTTTTTGCTAATAAATATAAGTGCTAGTCTAATGTCTTTTCTCAATTACATCTTCAACAGTATGGTTTTGTTTCTAATTTAAAATCCAAATATTTGTCTAAAGTCTTTACCAGTTGTGTGGTTGAGTGGTCTGATGTATGCTTTAGATCATAAGGTCTGTCATTGATTCAAGTGCCATGGTTTGTTTTGAAGGTACTTCCAACCTTATTTGTCTTATTTTCGCCAGTCATGTTTGGCCGTTTTGACTGACTTGCAGTGAAATTGACCAACTGGAGAATACTAGTAGATCATAAGGTCTGTCTAAAGTTTAGACAAATATTTGGATTTTAAACTAGATTTATAAGGGGCATTTTAAAGGGGCATTGGCGCCATTGGGTAAGATTAGATAAGAGCTGACAGTTCTCGCTATAATAGTTCAACAATAAATAATAGAAACAGAAAATGCTGAAATTTCAGTCAGATTGCTTTGCTCTGAACCGAGATATAGGTGATTCAGTTTTAGGCTACAGAGCCAATTTTCTGAAAGGTAACCTTTTCTGTGGTTCAAGTATCTGATGTGAGAATCTGGGCCCTGTTTCTCGAAATCTTAACAGTGGGAATGCAGTCGACCCTACTCTTGGAAACGAAGCTAAGCCTCTTCACTAAATGACAGACCTTATTATCCAACACGAATGCATTATCATTTGACTCCACCCCCTCCCCTGCAGTGACACATGAATGTTGTGACCAATAACCACTTTCCTGTCTTAAGGCCTTTGAAAACAGTATTCCTCATTATTAATTTGTCCCAACTAATCATGGTTCATGAATGCGTGTTCTCGATATGTTGACACTTCTACGATGGTGGGTGACTACGAGTCATGAGTGAAATAATCTTATTTCGTTTAATCTGTTATACTAATATAGAGAAAATACAATTTACATTTTATGGATATAACTTTTATGGATATAACTGTTACAACAAATAACACATCTACACAAATTTTTAAGTTGACCTCATTTCAATCAAAGTAAATACATGTACCCGTAAGTATTGTTTATATTCGCGTTACGTTTGGTAGTGGAACAGTGACACTGACATATTGTACATCGTTGACTTCAGGGTTAGGCTTGTTGTCTACCAAAGTTAGGTTAACATCTTCCACTACACTGCAAAGTCAGTAACATCATCAAGCTAACCTTTGCTAAAAGGTTAATGTTAATAACATCCACCAATTAGTCTATACACTAAACACAAGACCTGCAGCATTCAATCTCTGTGATCTGTAAATAATTAATAAAAAAACATATGAACTTACTTCAAATTTACACACTATAACTTATTACATAAACTTTATGTAGATAAGGAAAGTGAATTTTGAGATGCACTCCAATGACAAGTAGTTGATTTACATAAAAATTTACAAAAATAAGAACTGTTAATGAAAATAATAAACTGATTTACCTCAAGATAGATAATTGGAAATATTTTCTATACTTTTCTTCTGAAAAATGAAAGGGCGTAGTTTTATTATAAAACAAGGAACATGTACTACAAAAACATATAATTATTAATGTACCCCCTCGCCAACACGTACATTTGGAATTCATTTAATATAGTTAACTAAAAAAAATGTTAAAATCACAATTAATTATGATACCACAATTACAGGCTGGTAAAATCAACACAAAGTTCATACATTAGATTATAATAACCAGAATCGACTTTAAACTGATGTCTCTCACATATCAATGCCATAACTCTTGCAGTAATCATCAGATCTCGCTGAAAATCAATAGGCGTCTTGTCTCATGACCTTAAACACTGTGTATAAATTTAAAGTCAATTGGATTTTAAATTTAGCCTCTAGAGTGTTCACAAGATTTTTCAAAGTGATCAAGGGCCATAACTCTGGTAGTAATTATCGGATATCGCTGAAAATCATTAGGCTTCTTCGTCTCATGACCTTACACACTGTGTAACAATTTGGAGTCCATTGGATATTAACTTTAGCCTCTAGAGCGTTCACAAGATTTATCAAAGTGATCAAGGGCTATAACTCTGGCAGTAAATATCAGATATTAACTTTAGTCTCTAGAGCGTTCACAAGAAATTGTGGACGACGGACGTATAAAAATAAAAACAAAGTATAAAAGAATCAACTTAATTAACAAAAACAATAATTAAACAATCAAAAACTAAACAGATAAATCAAATTCAAACGGAACAAATAAAGCAAAGAAAAGGAAAAAAGCAGTTCATTACCATTCTACATTAAAAAAATAAAGGAAATCAACTTGCGAAAAAAACTTTCATAAAATAAGAGTAAAGTAACACTAATGTTAATACTTTTTTAACGACACTACTTGGGCTCCCGGCACCCCTACACCCAAGCCTATCCACACCACAACAAAGGTCCATTTCATTGATTTTTTTCAATTTAATGGTCAAAGCCATCAAAAAAAAAAACCAACCCATTTAAAACACTGAAAAAATAATTTCAAATTCTACCTTTATAATCAAGAAATATAAACTTTAAATATGTAATATGTAATTCAGATCTAATTTTCCATCAAAATCAATGTAAATGGACCTTTGTTGACCAGATAAGCAAATTACATTGATACTAACTTCAGACTTTACAATTTTGTATAGAATTCGAACATTAAATGATCATGCGACCGAACCTCCAGCATGAGGTCCCTAACAATATCTATTTAAGAATAACAGAAACCATAAATTAAAGGCGTTTTTTAGGACCTGAGCTTCGACCATATTAGATAGTAAAAGCTTAATTGATTCTATTAGTTAAGTATAATATTTGAAATTAGATCTATAATATATAATTATGATTTTAATAAATCTTAGCTGACAATAACGTGCGGATTTCATTCAGTTTTAAAATTGGTACTATATAGAGCCTAGCCAGTATAGCGATTCTGAAGGGAAAATACCGCTTATGACTCATGACGTCACTCAAATATGACAGAAAAGCACTTATTTTGGTGCCATCCCACGCATTGACTGGTATATAGAGCGTTTTGATCATTTGAAACTTTGAGTTTGACCTGAAACCCTATTAATTAATAAATAGGTAATATTAATAAAACAATACTACTAGGCCTATTTATTAGTATTTAGAATATATATCATATGTAGGCCTACATACACTGTCATACAGTGCCTTTATTTACAAGTTACATCTGATTTATTAACTGATTATCAGACTTATCCATTTGTGTGTATCTCATTGATCATTCTCAGGCTCAAGTTATACTCCTGACAAGTCCACGAGTCACGATACTGTGACCCCCTGTTGGTTGCACTTACTTGTAGTTAAACTGTCACTACTACAACTTAAGGGGTATAAATAAAATGCTTGAAATGAAGTCGGACTAGGTAGATATCTAGGCCTAATTATAATGTAGACTTGTTTTCATATCGATTACCCGACGCCAAGACCACTTCTACTGTACTAGCACTAATTTCAATGTAGGCTACTTAGTAGTCTTACCCCAAAAGTTAGAAAAGACTTCGTCAGCAAAAAAAATTATTTACAATCGGTACATCTATGAATGATTAAGATTTGATTTATGCAGTTTTAGTCAAATACTAGCCTACTATAAAGTAACAAACTTCATTTACATTACCCAGGTCAGAAAATCTCCTCAGAAAATAAAAGACAACTGTTTAGTGTTTGTAGCCCAATAAATATAAGAAGCTGACGCCGTTAAAAACAGTGTTAGCCTAAACATCAGAATATTGCGCCAAAAGCAAACCAGTTAAAAATATAATTTGCGGGTCACGGAAAGATAATTCTGTTTGGAAACATGGTTTGGTGTAGAGGAGTAACCGAAGTTGGCCGAGTGAAATCTGCAGCCGCTTGCCGAGTGAAAAATAGAAAGTAACTCATTGAAGATCCAGTATTGTGCCTCTAACCGACCATTTTCTAACAAAGAAACATGGCCGACTTCCTGTGACAGTGTACTACGTAGTCTCTATCATTCAGACAAATATCCTTCGTACGTTGAAAGCTAGGAGGTTCTGAGTGACCGAGACTATGTATAACGCTGAAATCAAGCTGGCATACAATAAGTCATCAGACTATACGTCAGACTTGAAAACATTCTACAGATAGTGGAAACGGGATAAAACCATAGAGTTATAAATGTTTATAGAATAAATCTATGGATAAAACCTAGAACCTTGAATGCGCGTGCAATCCAACATTTAAAGAAGCCTAGTATCTAAGGATTAAATTTATACAATTAACAAACGTGTAGGTAACAATAAAATACATGAAAAAAAAAAGAAAAAAGAAATATATATCATACAATTAAAACTATTATGAGTCGGCTGTCCACCGTTTGTTAGGGCCTATCGATATATATATTTATAATATATAGGGAAATGGGGTTTAACATCCGAAATGAATGAAATGGGGTTTAACGTCCTACTTTTTTTGCTCCTAAACTGGGCTAATGAAGACGGGCATACGCCATCTATGAGGGAAATTTTGCCCGGGCAGCGGCGCTACGGCCTACTCTTATATCGAATTCCAACTGCCGAGGGATCTTTTACGTGCACGCCAATTTGTACACGGGACCTCGGTTTTTCGTCCCATCCGAACGACTAGACAGCTGTCCTTGTCAGGCCCTCCGTCCTGCACCACTGACAAGGGGAAACCATGCCGGAAAATCTGGATGAACTTTCTCGGGCAATGTAGGGATCGAACACCCGACCTCCAGGCGAGTGAGCCAGCGTCTTATACACACTTAGCCACGTGATCCCGGTTTAACATCCACAAACTGAAATGAAATGAAATGAAATGGGGTTTAACGTCCTACTGTTCTGCTCCGAACTGGGCTAATGAAGACGGGCATACGCCGCCATACAGTGTGTTGTGAGGGAAATTTTGCCCGGACAGCGGCACTACGGCCTACTCTTATCGATTGTCAAGGGATCTTTTACATGCACGCCAATATGTACACTGGACCTCCGAACGACTAGACAGCTGTACTTGTCAGACCCTCCGTCCTGTAACCGACACAAACATAGTCATTTCGAGACTAAATATAGTTCAATTTTATTTCAATAATTCGCTTACAAGTAGAGTCTTTTAGCTGTAGGAGCAAAAGAAATCTATTGAAATCACACTGGACAGTAAAATAAGGAAGGAATTAATAAAGGGACGAATGAATAAAAGCGCGAATTATATCCCCCCACCCATTACAGTATTCTATATTTTAACGAGATGTGAAACTGATCTTTCCAAATAAGGCATCTAAACGCTCTTTCAAATTATTATAATTTTTTTCCTAACATATTAATACATTTATAAAGCCGACCCCCATTGGGCTGAATTTTTTTAAATGTACAAATTTTGTAAATAGAATGTTTTTATGTCATGCATGATATAAAACAAGCTAATTTTATTTTCTTTATAAGCCCTTTAATTCAACCCACATGTCTTGAACATGAATCAGAGAGAGGGATGGAGAAAGAGAAAGAGACGGAGAGAGATGGGTTGGGTTTGGGGAAAGAGAGTTAAAGAGAGAGGGTGGGGGGTGGCTTTAACCTCTACTCGACATATACTAGGTCATTTCGGATATAACATATGGTTCTAATTTATTTCAATATTTCGCTTGTGCGTAGGGTCCTTTAGCAGTTTGGAGGAAAACGGGTTTGACAGGCGACCATATTTCTTGTCAGTACAAGCGCAAGCGGGAGAGATAGATAGAGAGAGAGGGGGGGGGGGGGGTGGGTTAACGTCCACTCGATACAATCTAGGTCATTTCGGGACTAATATATGGTTCAATTTTATTTCAATAATTCGCTTGAGCAGTGGGAGGAAACCGGAGGACCCGGAGAAAACCCACGAGGTTGGACAGACGACCCTACTCCTAGTCACGTACAACCGGGAATTCCAAACCACGACTCAATGACAGACCTTATGATAAAACGCGCACCCGCTAACCATTCGCCCACCCACTCCCAAAAGCGAGGAAATAGAAGCCACGCATCAATGACAGATTTACCATCTGTTAAATCATTCAGCCAAGCATTTGAGTGATAGCAATTCATGTAGTATTGTTAGAGGATTACACAGATATTTTTTAATTATCCGTAAATAGTAAACAAGCTAATTCTGCTTTCTTTATACGCCTTTTAATTCAACCTGAAAACATGAGTCATAGGACAGGTAATATGATTACATATATATTTTTTAATTACCTATCTATATCCTCAAGTCTATTTATTGACTATAAATAACTGTCACATGTTAATAGTGCTGTTTATGTCACTTCAGAGAGCTATTGACAGAAAAATAATGGACGGTTTTATAACAGTAAATAATAACTTCAAGTCTGATAAAATGTATCTTTAATATTCAACAATTGTTTTCTTTTACATGTAGCGGTTATAGCCCCAGTTTTTTTATGTTAAAGGGGCTTTTCTACACGTAAAAGAAAGAGAAAGAAAGAGAGAGAGAGAGAGAGAGAGAGAGAGTCGCATGTCCAATCTCGTGGGGTTTCCCCAGGTCATCCGCTCCGCCCCCACTGCTAAATAAATAAAATTGAACGATATGTTAGTCCCGAAATGACTTACTTTGTGTGTGTCGAGTGGACGTTACCGCCCCCCCTCTCTTTCTCTCTATGTTAGACCCAAATGACTTAGTTTGTGTGTCGAGTGGACTTTACCGCCCCCCCTCTCTCTCTCTCTCTCTCTCTGGAGGGGGGGGGGGGCGCAATGGTTAGCGTGCGCGCGCTGTATCATAAAGTCTGTCATTGAGTCGACTGGCGTGGTTTCGAATCCCCGGTTGTACGTGGCAAGGAGTAGGGTCGCCTGCTCAACCTCGTGGGTTTTCTCCGGGGCCTCCGGTTTCCTCCCACTGCTAAAGACCCCTACGCGCAAGCGAATTATGTAAATAAAATTAAACCATATGTTAGTCCCGAAATGACCTAGTTTGTGTCGAGTGGACGTTAAACCCCATTTCTCTCTCTCTCTCTTCGGATGAGACGAAAACCGGAGGTCCCGTGTATATATTGGAATGCACGTAAAAGATCCCCTGGCAGTTGGAATTCGATATAAGAGTAGGCGATAGTGTCGCTGCCCGGGCAAAATTTCCCTCATAACACACTGTATGGCGTATGCCCGTCTTCATTAGCCCAGGCTGAGCAGAACAGTAGGACGTTAAACCGCATTTCATTTCATTTCATTTCTCTCTGTTTGATCGTTGGCATCGTATTATCATTATCACATTGGTGTGAATATATTGTTATATTGACCGTAAAATTAGATCGTAGACAAACCACTTATCATTATTGGTCTAGACTGATTTCTTGATGGAAATAAAACTAACAATAATTAGTCCGCCTTTCGTTTTATCCTAGATGCCGGTACGAAAACTGTGGCAACCATTCGTCAACAATGGCCACCATAGAAATGATTTCAAGTCTGCGGAATTGGCAAAGAATGTGCGTCTCGTTGATACCATAACAAGATAAAGATTACCCTACCATTGGAATTCTAAAAGTAATTCACGCAAATATTGTCTGGGCGAAATTAGTTTCACTGTATTCGCAAATATAATATTATGTCTCAAAATGATCGGAGTTGTGGGGTAAGTGAACTTCGTAAAGGAGGCAAGTCACCAACTCAATATTATCCAGTCTTCGACATTGCAAACACGGCTTATTTGTCATTTGAAATCATCATTGGTGAAGTTTGGCTTCTGATATCCAATATTGAAGACAAAATGAAAATTTTAAAATTGGCAGACGAATCGCGAGCCAGTGTGCCATTTGTATGAAGCAACTGTTGAGCGAGGTTAAAGATATCCCCATGTAGGAGAATACCATCGGTTTAGACTGGAATAACCAGACGCCAAAGACTGCCATTCAATTCGGACTCTTCGCTATAATCAGATTATATAAATTAATATTACATTATTATATGCGTTGCTACCCATTTGTGTCCATTCCTAGGTCCAAAGGGGTAATAACTGTGCTGGAATGAAATGGAGTTTAACGTCCTACTGTTCTGCTCCGACTTGGATAATGAAGACGGGCATAGCCTATATAGTGTGCTATGAGGGAGATTGTGCTCGGCAGTGTCACTATGGCCTACTTTTATATCGAATTCCAACTGCCAAAGGATCTTTTGCGTGAACGCCAATGTATACATGGGGCCTCGGGTTTTCGTCCCATCCGAGCGACTAGACATCTGTCCTTGTCAGACCCCCGTCTTCATTATCCCAGTCGGAGCAGAACAGTAGGACGTTAAACCCCATTTCATTTCACTTCTTGTCAGGCCCCCTTCCTGCACCACTGACAAAGGGAAACCACGTCGGAATATCCCGATGAACTTTCTCGGCCACGAACATATTGTGTGCTATGAGGGGCATTATGCTCGGAAATGAAGCTACGACTGACTATTTTTGAAATGCGTATATGGGACCTCGTCTTTTTTAGCCCCATCCGAAAGACTAGACTCTATGCTTATCGGGCTCTCCGTCCTGTACCACAGACATTGGAAAACCATACCAGAAACCTCAGGGGAACTTTCTAGGCGAAAACCAAGAGCGAACCCGAGACTCCGAGGTTAGCTAGCCAGCGTCATACTCACTGACCCACCGTGGCTCGAACACGATAAGAACAGACTGTACGATAAGGCTTACAATAATTATAGGTGATTTGACCACAATTCGATTTCTTTCCTTTGCTTCCAGCAATGGTCACGGATGTCCAGTAGTGATTATAATGTAATATTGATGGTTATGACAGTTTGCTTAACCTAGCGGTCAAGTGCAGTCAATCCACTGGTCATGCAGTCTATAATTCATTATATTGTCTTATTATATTTGTGAATCCTCGGTCCTCGTCTTACTAACCAGAACTCGATAGATATAGTAGATCAATATATACGATTATCTAGAGAAGAAATGGTTAAAAGATGAACTATTCAGTATTTACACGACTGATCAAT